AGATCTTGAAACATTCTTTGTGAGGATGAATGCCACACCATTCCCCTTCATTTTGTCATTCCTGGCATAGTACATCATATGATTGTCTGATTCCGAATGGCCAAAACCAGTCCATTTCAGCTCACTAATAGCTAGTATATCAACCTTTATGTGTCCATTTCATTTTTTACAACTTCCAATTTTCCTACAGATTAGAGCCTTGGAAACCCTATGGGACAGTTCTACTCTGTCCTATACAGTTGCAATGAGTCAGAATCTACTCAAAGACTGGTTTTTGTTTGTTTGCTTCTTTTGTTTTTTCCAGCTTAGAGAGCTGCATTCCTTGCACTCCTTAGCACATGGCCATTTCCTCCATCTTCAGAGCTAGCAGCAGAGCATCTTCACACTCTGTGCTTCAGTCTCCTCTGTCTGTCTGTAGTCAGATCTCCCTCTATGACAAGGACCTCTGTGATTACAGTGGGCCCACCCAGATCATCTAGGATAATTTCCCACTTCGTGATTCTAAATTCATTCATATCTACAGAGTCCCTTTTGCCCTATAAGATAACATTCACAGCTTTCCAGAATATTCCAGACCCTGAATATTTTTGGAGGATATTATTAGCCTACCACATCCCCAATTCAGAAATGCCCTGCCCTCCAACTCTCGGAATTCTGCCTACTCAAAATACCCATCCAGAGACTCCTCCACCAAGAAACTGATGTATTAGGCCTGGGGTTGCTATAACAAAGTGCCATAAAGTGGGTGGCTTTCTAAGAACAGACGTTATGGTCTCACAGTTCTGGAGGCTAGAAGTCCAAATTCAGTGTGTCTTGACTCTTCCATATGCTCTCTGAAGGTTCTAGAAGAAGACCCTTTCTCATCTCTCTCACCTTCCACTTAACCCCAGGCATTCCTTAGGTTGTAGTGGTAGCCTAACTTGGTGTTACATGACCATCTTCTCTTTGTGTCTCTCCTCTTTTATAAGACACACTCAGATTGGATTAGGACCCACCCTACTCCGTATGGCCTCATGTTAGCTTAACTGTTAATATCTTCAAAGACCTTATTTCTAAACAAGGCCACATTCACAGGGACCAAAGTTAAGATTTTTTGGGGGAAGTGGAAAACACAATTCAATCCATAACTCCATCTTGGATCACTCCTGATGAGTGGTCTCTCCTTCCTCTGCAACCTTCACACTCCCTCACCCCTTCAACAGTCACTTACATACTGCCTGGAGTCAGTTCATGTTTCCTGTCATACATGTTGAGTCTCTTACTGATGAAGATCAAGGAGTCAGTCTTCAGTATGGATTGCACCTCAACATAAAGAAAATAAAAATCCTCACAACTGGACCAATAAGTAGCATCATGATAAATGGAAAAAAGATTGAAGTTGTCAGGGATTTCATTTTGTTTAGATCCACAATCAATGTCCATGGAAGCAGCAGTCGAGAAATCAGATGACATATTGCATTGGGCAAATCTTCTGCAAAAGACCTCTTTAAGGTGTTTAAGGGCAAAGATGTCACTTTGAAGACTAAGGTGCACCTGACCCAAGTCATAGCATTTTCAATCATCTCATATATGTGTGAGCTCTGGTGGTGTAGTGCCTAAGGCATTTGACTGCTAACCAGAAGGCTGATGGTTCAAACCCACCAGCTCACTCCTCAGAAGGAAGGTTGGGCAATCTACTTCCATAGTGATACCATCTTGAAAACCCAAGGAGGGGTCCTTATGGGTCGTATCCAACTCCATGGCAGTGTGTTGCATTTTTTGTTGTATGTATATGTGAAAGCTGGATAATTAATAAGGAAGACCAAAGAAGAACTGATGCATTTGAATTGCATTGGCGAAGAATACTGAAAATACCATGGCCTGTCAGAAGAATGAACAAATCTGTCTTAGAAGAAATGCAGTTAAATGCTCCTTACAAGCAATACTTTGATCACTTACTTTGGTCATGTTGTCAGAAGGGTCATGTTCTTCCCTGGAGAAGAATGTCATGCTGGGTAAAGTAGAGGGTCGGTGAAAAAGGGGAACACCCTCAACAAGATGTATTGAAACAGTGGCTTCAACGATGGGCTCAGGTAGGGCAAGGATTCTGAGGATGGTGCAGGACCGGGCAGTGTTTTGTTATCTGTTGCACATAGGATGGCTATGGGTTGGAACTGACTTGATGGCACCTAACATACACACACACACACACACACACACACAGGAATGATTCAATGGCACAAATGACTACTAAACACTTGACTTCAAACCCACCCAGAGCCACCTCAGAAGAAAGACTTGACAATCTGCTTCCAAAAAGTCGGACCTGACTCATAGTGACCCCTCCTTGGGTTTCCGAGGCTGTATCACTGCAGAAGTAGATTGCCAACCTTCCTTCCGAGGAGTGGCTGGTGGGTTTGAACCTCCAGCCTTCTGGTTAGCAGTCAGATGCCTTAGACACTATGCCACCAGAATGCCCCCCAAAAGTCACAGCCTTTGAAAACCCTGTGGAGTAGTTCTATTCTGCATGCACAGGATCACCATGAGTCAGAATCAACTCTGCAGCTTCTGTTTGTTGTATTGATTGATCTTGCTTTTGGAGTCCTTGGAAGCTTTGGTGGCATAGTGGTTAAAGTATTCAACTGCTAACCAAAAGGTCAGCAGTTCGATCTCACCAGCCAATCTGTGGGAGAAAGATGAGGAAGTCTGCTTCCATAAATATTTACATGACTATGAGTCAGAATTGACTCGGTGGCAGTGGTTGGGTGAAGTGGTGCAAACAATTAAATGCACTTGGCGACTAACTGAAAGATTGGCAGTTCATGTCCACCCAGTGCTGCCTTGGAAGAAAGACCTCATGACCTACTTTCAAAAAACTCATACCCATTGAAAACTTTATGGAGCACAGTTCTACTCTGACACACATGGGATTGGTATGAGTCAGAGTTGATTCAACACCAACTAGTGTATTGTACATTTAAGCTTTGTCTCTCAGACTAAATTATAAGGCCCTGAAGCCATGGGCCTCTTCATATCTTCTCCCCACACTTAACACACTGCTTTGCATTTGCCACCTCCAAAGAAGAAACTTAGATGTGAGTCCTAGCATAGCTTATCAGCCCTTTTAAAAATACAAGTTAGTGACAACTTGATTTTCTTGAAGGGAAGGCAGTGTTGCCTTCATCTACCTGTCTGCAAGCTTCGTTAAGACATTATTTGGAAAGCAAAGGAGTTCAATTGAATCTATATTTACCTTCTTCTCACTTCCCTTTTTAAGGGTTGCCTTTGTATCTGAAATATCTTCTGGAACATTATCAGAAAATTATGAGCCGGAGTCAGGAACTTCAGGTAATCGTATAACTTCTTCCCTCCAACTCCCACCCTAAGTTCATTTAAGGTTTTCCTTTGCATTTATATGGCTGCTAACCAAAGAGTTGGAGGTTTGAGTCCACCCAGATGCACATCAGAAGAAAGGCCTGGTAATCTACTTCCAGAAACTCATGATTGACAATGGTACAGAGTGCAGTTCTGTCTACTCTGACACACGGGGAGTTGCCTCGAGTCAGAGCCGACTTGACAACAAGCGATCAAGTGGTGCATTTAAAACATGTTTTTTTTTTTTCTCTATTGGCTCATCAGTCAACATCCTCTAAGAGGTGAAATGATGCCCCCTTTGCACATGAAGAGAATCAAAGAGGGTAGCTGAGGATCTCCCAGAAGGACAGGGGCAAGGACAGCCTGCTCACCCTGGTCTGACCTCCTGGGATGATCACACTGCTTGCTTTCCTCTGCTGAAATCCAGAAAGACTTACGTGCTATCAGATTTTGAAAACTGTGTTTATTAAATGCAGTTGAAGAAGCACAGCTATCCACAGTACAGAGCGCAGAATTACCAAGAACTACATAAGGCATGGAGGCAAAATGATTCTTAGGGATTGTATCACTCAAGTAGCTACTGTCTTAATAATGCTATATAATAACCACAAAACTTGACTAGCACACATTGCTCATGTGTCTGGGGTCAGCAACTAGGTGGCTCTGCCAATCTTGGATGGGGTTGCTTACATGTCTGAGTGTCAGCTGGTCTTTGGTTGATCTAGACTGGTCTCAGCTGAAGCAGCTCTACTCTGCTCCATGTGTCTCTCACGCTCCAGCAGCCTAGCTTGGGCATGTTGTCATGGTGATAGCAGAAGTGTAAGAGACAGCAAGCCCAGTCATGTACTTTTTTCAATCCCCTGTTTGTGCTGTATCAACTAATATTCAATTGGCCAAAACAAGTCACATAACTAAGTTCAGTGTCAAGGGGAAGGGTATGGGAGGGTACTGCAAGTTACATAACAAAAGATGTGGTTAGAGGGGTGAATAGGGACCACTATTTCAATTAACCACAGAGACCGTTAGGCCAAGGTCAGCAAACGTTTCCTGTAAAGGGTAAAATAAATAGTAAATATCTGAGGCTTTGCACACCATACAGTCCCTGTCACAGCTACTCAGCTCCACTGTTGTAAAGTGAAAGCTGTCATAGATTCTATGTAAATTAACGGGCATGGTAGTGTTCCAATAAAGCTTTATTTACAAAAATCGACTGTGGACCAGATTTGGCCTGCAGATAGCAATTTGCCAACCTCTGACCTGATTCATTTTCCTCATTATATAGTTATGGGCATCAAAGATCTGAGATGCCAGGTGACATTTTTAACATCACACAATAATTAACAGGTAGAAGAATCAAAACAAAAGCCCAGGCCCCATGACTCCTAGCCCACAGCTAGACAGTGAAGCATCTAGAAAGAACCAGAGCTGGGATTCTGTCTAGCTCCAGAATCTGGGTTCTTCCCCACTATACCCCACTGCCTCCCTGCTAGTAGTAACTAGGCTTAAGCATAGTTTTTCTGTGTTTTCAAGAAAGCTTTGTGTAAACCTTATTTCCCTGCTCCATATGTAAATAACTTGTAAAGAAATGTGGAGATGACCCTTTAATTAGTTCTGTCCCTCATCAGCTCCAGTTAACCTCGTTTCAGATCAAGACTGACAGTTTCCAGGAGACGCAGCAGTCTCTGCTGCAGGAGAAGCTGCGGGAGCATCTGGCAGAAAAAGAGAAGCTGTCCAAGGAACGGCTCGAGCAGGAAGAGAAGCTGAAAGCTAGGATCAAGCAGCTAACGGAAGAGAAGGCGGTAAGGTGGTCCTGTCATTTTCTGCACCACTGGAAACTGATGAAATTACTTTTTCTGCGAGAATTAGAGGCATGTACTTAGATGGGAAAATTTCAGCAGTTCTTTGTTTGGTCTTATGGAATCAAATTAAATAAACAAAGTGGATTTTTTTTCCTTTATTTTTATTTTCCTTCTAGATTTGTCTATTGTTTGGCTAAAAGTTGAGCCACAGAGTTTAGTTCTAGGCGTGAACGGTGACTAAAGGCCACAGTCTCAGGCTTTCCACCAGCCTCTCCCTGACCAGAGAACCTGATCTTTCTTATGATTTCAAGTTTTGTTCCACATTTGCTCCCACTGTATTCAGGACCTTCTAGTGTGATCCCTTTCAGAGCCATCAGTAGTGACAGCCATGCATCATCTAGTTCTGATCTCAGGGTCTTGGAGGCTGATATTTGCATGGTCCATTGGTTCCTAAGGTGGATGAGTTTTTTGAGGAATTAACCTCAAGCTGGAATTCTAAAATTAAGAGCAAATTCAACATGAAAGGACAGGAATATTGAAATTTCTAAAGAGTCACTGGGCAGCACAAATGGTTAGATGCTCAACCTCTAGCCATAAAGATTGATGATTTGAACCCATCTTGGAAAACAAGCCTGGCGGTCTGCTTCTGAAAGTCACAGCCTTGGAAACCCTATGGGGCACAGTTCTGCTCTGCACACATGGGGTCCCCATGAGCTGGAATTGACTTGACGACAACTGACAAGAACAACATTGAAATTTCAGGAAACGGTACTTTATTGGTTCAATAGTACAATTGTTTTACTATCAGGGTCATTATTGCAGGTCCTGGTTTGTAACTGACAGATTTTTTCTAAGCAGGTACAAGATCAGCTTCCTGGTACCTGTTTTTCACTTTCCTTTTACACACACCAGGAAAACAAACAAACTGCCAAAGTTGCTACTTTACTTTTCTGGAAACCAGACCAGTTAGAGGAAACCTAACCACAGCACTTCTCAAACCTTAAGGTGCCCATGAGCCACCTGAGGGTCTTGTTCAAATGCAGATCCTGACTCAGTAGGTCTGGAGTGGGGTCTCAGATTCTGCATTTCAAACAAGCTCCTAACTGTGCGGCTAACACAGTTGCAAAGACCACATTTTCAATGGTGAGGTCTTCTTGTCAGAGCAAGTCAGCTCTGATTCGTGGCAGCCTTATGTACAATGAAAAGAAATGTTGCCCAGTCTTAGAGGGAGGATGCCTGGTAAGAACTACCTGAACGCTTGTTGAAACTACATGTTCTTGGGCCCCACCCCAGACCCTTTGAAATAGAATCTCTGGCCAAAGCCAAGGATCTGCATGTAGTAAGCCAATTCTCATCATTGTCTTAAGTTTGCCTTCTTTGTCAGGGGCCTGCCATGAGTTTAACTACAGGCATGTTGTTGTTGTTGTTGTTGTTATGTGCCGTTGAGTCGGACCCGACTCACGGCAACCCCTCCTTGGGTTTCCAAGGCCGTATCACTACAGAAGTAGATTGCCCAACCTTTCTTCTGATGAGTGGCTGGTAGGTTTGAACCACCAGCCTTCTGGTAAGCAGTCAAGTCCCTTAGGTACTACGCTACCAGAGCTCCTAACTACAGGCACACCTCCTTTTATTGCACTTCACTTTATTGCCCTTCACAGATACTGTGTTTTCACAAATTGAAGGTTTGTGGCAACCCTGTTGAGCAAGTCAGTCGGGACCATTTTTTCCAATAACATGTGCTCACTTCATGTCTCTATATCCCATTTTGGTAATTCTTACAATGTTTCAAAAATTTTCATGATGCTAATGCACACTGAATAGACTATAGTATAGTGTCAACATAACTTTTAGATACACTGGGAAACCAAGAATTCTTGTGTCTCACTTTACTGCAATGTTTGCTTTCTTGCGGTGGTCTGCAACCAAACCCTCAGTATCTCCAACGTATGCCTGCTCCTTCATTGCCATCATCATAGACTGCGGTTTATGACTTCGGCTGCACTTTTATCATGTAAGAGTTTGAAAACTACTGATGCTGACTCCCACCCCCACAGGTTCTGGTCTCACAGCTGTGGGGTGAGGGAACAGCCTGTGGACTGGGATTTGTAAAAGCTCCCAGTGATTACAGTATAGCACCAAGGCTGATAACCACTGTTGTGGGTAGATGTGGAAGGTCATTTCCATACCTCCACCATCAATTCAGCAGTGCTCAGCTCCCCTCGACCCTGCCTCATCCCCAGCAACTCCCTTCTGCCGGAGCAGAGGATGGGACCTGCCGCTTCCCCTTCTTTTATTTGTTGTAACTTGGTCACTTCCAACTCAGGTCGTCCTTCACTGTCAAATACACCCGTTCTCCAAGCCTGTGCCTCTTCCATTTCTGTGCCCTAATTTGTGTCCTGTGACCTCAAGAAACCTCTCACCAATTTCTTCCTCTACTCTCTCCTTGTTTCTCTGCCTTTCTGCCTTTTGTCAAATAAAAGATTAAAAAGGAAGAACCATCAGACCAACATCTGGTATGATCTGCCTAACAGATATTAATGATAGCTGTCAGTCAGGGTGGGTACATTTTGAGGAGCCAATTAGATAGGGAAAAAGCCAGTGCATTGAATAGAGGAGGCAAGAAACAGAAAGACCCTAGGGATTTTCACAAAACTCCCCCTACACACACACTCCTCTCTGCATAACTCCTCCCATTCAGCATCCAGTCTCCAACTGTCAGATTTTATTTTTTTAATTTTGGATTGAGTTTTCCATTTTTGGTGTTCAGTATTTATAACATCATTCCCAATAGAGATGTGTTCCAATGCTGGCTTTTAACTTGTTGTTAACTGCCACCCTTTTAGCCCCCTACTCCTGGCAACTCATGGTGAGCCCATGCACAATGGGATGAAATGTCGTGCCACCCCCAGGATTGTGGACAAGATGTTGTCATCCATAGGGTTTTCACTGGCTGATTTCAGAAGTAGATCATCAGACCTTTCTTCCTAGTCTGTCTTAGTTTGGAAGCTCTGTTCAGCATTGTAGCAACACGCAAGCCTCTGCTGACAGATGGATGGTTGCTGTGCATGACGTACATTGGGTGGGAATGAAACTAGGTCTCCTTCATGGAAGGCATGAATTCTACCACGGAACCACCACTGCCCCCTAGCTTTAAGGGCCCTCTTTTGAACACAACAAACCTGTTCCTGCTGCCCCTTATGCAGGGAGGAAGCAATATCAGGGACATACCCAGACGGAACGTGAGACTGCTCATGCCAACCTCTGGTTTAGAGCACATGCTGTGGAATCAAATGGACCAGGGTTCAAATCCCTGTTCAGGTGACTTACTGGTAAAATTGGACATATTCCTTAATCTCTCTAAGCCTGTTTCCTCATCTGCAAAGTGGGGATGACAAAAGAAATGGCTAATTCTTATTAATTAATAAATGATCGTCATTTATAACCAAGCATTTTACATGCATCATCCCATGTACTCCTCGCAACAACCCAATGCAAGAAGTAAGTACTGTGTTATTGTCTCCCCTGTACAGATGGAGAAACTGAGGCTTCTATAACTTCCCACTGGCCCGTGTCAGACTCCATCCCCCATGCTTGATGCCCTAGGCCGCGCTGCCCACAGCCTCCCCATGGGCTCTTCTGAGGAGTGATGAGCTCATCCCTGCAGGACTGGCAGAGATTCTAATCTCCTGCCACGGTGACAACGCTACTAAACAACAGTAATTGCCTTCCAGATTCTAGAGGAAAGCATTGTTCAAGAAAAAAACAGAGCCAAAGAAGCATTAGAGGAAGAACAGAAGAGATTCCAAGAGCTGGAGAATCACTTAACTCACGAGAAGGAGGTAGGCAGCTCCGGGAGATTAGCTGGCTTCAGCTCCATCCAGCTTGGGGTTCCTATGGAAGTAAATGCAGAACCATGGGGGACAGGGGTAGAGCCTGGCAGAGCTTTGCTGGAGTTAATTTGTCCTTGGGTGGGCTCTGGTGACGTAGTGTCACAGTCCTCACCATTCCCTATTGTATTACATGCAGCTTTCTTCATTTTTGATATCTGTCTGGCCCCCTTAGGTATTTGAGTTTGCAACCCATTGCCAATTTTGTTCCTAAAGTTTGGCAGCCCTGGCAGCAGAGAACAGGACTCTCCCCTCCCTTGTTAACCATGTTGTATTCTATTGATGTGCCCTTATTGTTGTTGTTGTTATGTGCCGTCGAGTCGGACCCCACTCATAACGACCCCTCCTTGGGTTTCGGAGGCGGTATCATTACGGAAGTAGATTGCCCCATCTTCTGAGGAGTGGCTGGTGGGTTTGAACTGCCAGCCTTCTGGTTAGCAGTCAAGTGCCTTAGGCACTACGCTACCAGAGCTCGATTGTTGTGGAATTGCCCCTATTAGCGTTTATGAACTCTCCACTACATGGTTGACAGTGTTTACCTTGTGATCACCTTCAGATCCCCAAATGTTTTTCATGGATGATTTCATTAATCCCTTAAACCTGATGCAGCGCAAAGGAGTGTAAAGCACAGACTCTGCAGCCAGATGAAACACAGGTTCAAATCTTGTCAGGGCCACTTACAGGGTGCAACAGGTCTATCAATTCCTGCCCACATAAGAAGGTGGCTGTGAGGATTAGAGGGATGTATCAGGATGTGTTTGCCCCAGAATCATCACCCAGTAAGTGGTGGTTGTTAGTTGCCATGAGTTGGCTCTGACCCATGGTGACTATGTGTATAAGAGTGAAACGTTGCCCAGTCCTATACCATCTTTAATGTTGTTGATATGTTTGAGTCCATGACAAACGGTAGCTATTATTTTTAGCACTACTACTTCTACTTCTGTTTAGGCACTTTGTTTTCTATTAAGCCCTATTGCATCCTCATTCCTCAGGGTAAAATCCTTGGCCATCCATCACTGAAGGAGAACTATAAGGAGACCTCTGGGTAAAGCTGCATGATTTGATCTGAGCCAGAGTGGAAGATGTTTACACGTGGGCTGTTGCTTGGGATCTCCAGGTCCCGGTGGAGAGTCATTTATCTGTGCTCCCCAGCCCTCTATAAACACTGTCAGGGAGGTTTGCCCTGAATTACTGCTCCAGGGATAGAGATGAGAAGGGTCTTCCAGAAAGTCACTGAGAGAGGCTGGAAAGGTCCTTGGATTTAGAGATTCCCAGGTCATGGGGGACTTCAGCAGAGAGATTTAAGGGAAAAGTGGTGAGGACACAGACCTGGAGAGGACACAGCTGGACTGCAGAGGGGCCTGTGGCCAGGTCACCCAGGTCTATTAAAGTGTCAGCCCCCGTGTCCTCAGGCAAACCTCTCCGTGTGATTTCCCCCTGCGGACTTGGAGATAGTCATCCCAGCCACAGACTTCATTCAACCTCAGGCAGTTATTTGGTCTTTCTCTTTATTAGACCTCCCACTGTATCTTCAGAGGAATCTCAGCACAACAGAATCACTAGGTCCTAATTCGGGTTTTGAGGGAACGCTAACGGTGAATCCCCATTTCTGGCCTATGCACTTTGGAGAAAAGCCACTGAGGCTGATGGGACCAGTGAAGGATGCAGAGACAGATTCTTTCCGGTGACCCTCCCTCGTGAGCTGCAGGGGAGCTGCCCAGGGAAGTCTCTAGTTTAGGAGCGAGATGAGCTGCAGGGAAGCCAACTCTCCTGCAAGTCCGGGCAAGGGCCTGGAATGCTCTTTCACAAATAACAGGAAGATATATTACCTGAAACCTGCCTCAGATGTTCAAAATTAGTATTAAACCCTAATGCCACAGCTCTTCTGCTTTGTTTAGGCCTGGCATTGGGATAGCAGGGTGTTATGGTTTTTGCTTTTAGAGTTTTAAGAAAAAAAAAAGCTGCTTTTACTGCCAAATATATAATATTTCAGCCACATTATGTAGCCCCCGGGTGGTGCAAAGGGTACCCATGCTTGCCTGCTAACTGAAAGGTTGGCAGTTTAAGTCCACCCAGAGGCATCTCAGAAGAAAGGCCTGACTACCTGCTTCATTAAAAATCGTGTGGAACACAGCTCCACTCTGACACACATGGAGTCACCATGAGTTGGCATCAACTCAATGGCAGCTGGGTTTTGTCTTTTATTTTTATTTTTTTAGTTTTATAGAGTAAATACTTCTTGTGGGCTAATCTGAGACCCTTACCATTGGTTATAATGGAAACCACATTCCACGTCTCAAATATCTGACAGCCAACCCAGCATTTAAAACACAACCCATTGTATTGGTACAATGACAGACACATAGACCAATGGAATAGAATTGAGAACCCAGAAATAGATCCATTGAGCTGATCTTTGGCAAAGGGCCAAGATCCATTAAATGGGGAAGAAAAAGTTTGTTTCATAAATGGTGTTGGCAAAACTGGATATCCATTTGCAGAAAACGAAACAAGATCTGTACCTGACACCATACACAAAAACTAACTCCAGGTGGATCAAAGACTTAAATATGAAACCTAAAACTATAAAGTTCCTCAAGGAAAAACTAAGGGCAAATTTAGGGCCCATAATATATGGCATAAATAGACTATCAAGCATAACCCAAAATGCACAAACAGCAGAAGAGAAACTAGATGAATGAGACCTTCTAAAAATTAAAATTTTATATGTTTCCAAAGA